ATTTTCAGCCATTCAGTTTTGCAAATGGAAGATTAGTTCCAACGTGATTAAGATTTATATTTAATGTAGGAATTTCTGTTGAAATAAATTGTTATGTAGTAGAATTTTTTCCTTTTTCTCACAGCAGTGATTTTGTTTTATAGATTTCGGTGGTTGTTCTGAGTCTTGCATTGCTGCAAAATGTGGAAAGTATTAATATACCTCAAAGCTAATGGTAAAAATTTCTGAGGGTGCAGCTTGATACAGAAATAACACAATGAGAAAAGACAGTTTGTTATTGATGAAGTGAGAGACACTGTTCTAAATTACTTTAGTCTGAAGTCATCGTGTCTTTATAATAAATCTTGACTGTTGTGCACAGTCTCTCCTGCCTTGGCCTTCCTGTATGGTTTCAAACACTGTATAAATTACCAATATTTATTTTTTTAACCTTGCATGTGAAAATGGAGTAAACAGGATTCGGTAGAAAGTTCTAGTTGTTTGTTGATATTTTGTTAAGAAACCTTTTTCTTCTCTGGAAATATCAAAGCTTTGTGCAGTGCACTGATTTCTTTTAGCAGCTGCAGAACACCAAGACAAATAAGTTTTGTCGTGTACTGTAAGATATACAAGTCATTGTTCTACATTGTTAGTGCTTACTTTGAAGTTCTCATTTATTGTTTACATCCTTCTCCCCCTTCCTCCCTTCCTCCTTCCCTCCCCCATATATTCATAGACTTGGAAAAAAAATAAAGCTGGCAAGCAACAAGTACTGTTTTGTCAAATAGCCATAAAAAAAAAAAATCTGATGGATGTTAAGCCTCCAAGATGCCACCTCTGGCCTGAGGGTGAGCCCTGTAATGAAGACAAGTGAGCAGTGAGCAGGAGTTCAAAGCTGTCTCTGGTTAATGTTGCTAACCTGCTTATTGATTTACTTCTAAATCAGCTCTTGAAATATTTCGACAAATTTTGGTCAATGGGGACAAGACGAATGTTTGTCTTCTGTCACGAAAAACTGCGAGAACACCTTCTTTTTCTTCCCCCAAAGATTTATGACAGTTGCAGATTAGACTCTTTGGCAGTTATTGCTTAAATTTTCCTAGCACCTAACCTGTGTGCTCTGAAACCACAGGACAATGACACCACGAAAATCCATTTTCAGGTAACTCTTTGCTGCTTTTGGTGGTGTTTTACTTTTTTGAAAGGAGGAAGAAAGTGTGACTAGGCACATAAAAGCAGTTGTGTTGCTACCACCCTCCATGGCTTTAAATAACAGGGACAGCACAGATGTTTGACATCAGTATTGTTTACACGGCCTTAGGGTTTAATTGCCTCATACTCTTTGTGAGGAGGATAAACAATGACAGAAAGCCAAAGGAATGATGTTCAGGCAACAGCAATGGCTGCGTTTCAGGCATACTTGCAAACTTCTCAACTATAGCTAAATATCTACACTGTTTTTTCCCCTTGTCTGAATGGTAACATGCCATAAATTTTGTGTTCTTTGCTGCCTCTTGACTGGTGATAAAAGGTATGAAAACCGAGGAGCACAAGCACCGTAAATTGCGTCTATCAAAGCGAATGACTTTCCTCAGTTCTTTTTCTCTGGTTTCTCTAAGACTTGTGAAGGTCTTTGGTGCTGCTGTAGGTTGTTTTGTTTGTCAATATGTGTGTTTAATAAATGAAGCAAAGCTGAGGAGCAGCACATGAAGTTACTGAGTGCTGTCCCACAGGAAACTGAGCCAAGCTGAGGTTTGACATTTGGGAAGTGCAGATAGGCAACTGCCTCACTTTGGTGTGGTTTCAATTTGAAAGATACTCCTTGATTGTAATTAGGATTTAATAACATGCTTAAACTTTGAAATGGGAGCCATTCCACTCCCAGTTGTGAGGTGTTGAGCCCATTTGCTTCGCCCCAGTCATGAGATCACTGCTGAAAATGTGTTTACATGACTGGATTATTTTATCTCCATATGCAGTGAGGTTGGAATTCTGCCTCACAGAAAGGGTGGGTCAGAAAGCAGATCTCAAAATGAAACCAGGACTCCAAGCTTTGCTGCAGGACTCTGCTGTTATCCTCATGCTTTCTGCCCTTTCCGAAAGTTTTCCACAGAAGGAACAACAGGTGTAGGATTTTTAAACCAACATAGCATTATTTTTACAGCAGATGCTCAAATTAACACTTCCAGAAGTTGTGATGAAGATACATGTGTGTCTTGGAACTCGGGACCAGTATAAAATTGAACTGTTTTGGAAAGATTATTTTACTTTTTGCCAGTTACTCATTGCAAATACAGTTTTCCTCTTACCACTAGCTGAAAACTCCATGTGCACATCAACTGTTGAAGTTCAAACACTTGAATATAGGTCTCCTCGCATTTAGTTATATAGTAGGTTTTGAAGGGACAAAATGAGGAAAGTTGTGGATGGATCAAGTGGAGCAGGAAAGTCTCTGGGTAGCTGAAACTTCAGAGTTTCATTAAGTTGGGACAAGTTGAGGACCTTGAGTGTTTTTGATGGCATCAGTTTTTCAGCCTTCAGCTGATGAGCAGTTGGTCTGTGGGATTTTTCAAGTAAGAGATCTTTTTATTATTTTTAATAGCCAAAGGAAAATTAATCTGCTGTTATTAGAGCATCTGCATGAAGAGTTTTTCACAGTTTTTCACAGTTGTTTGGTTGCAAGTTATTAGAGCATCTGCATGAAGAGTTTGCTTGTATATCTCAGACACGTTTTTCACAGTTGTTTGGTTGCAGCTAGCTCTTCTTTTTTGGAAAGTAGTCCCAAATCTGTGAACTTTGAAGAATTGGCTGCTCCAGTGGAAGTAGTGTAATGAACTAATGAGTTAAAATTGATGAGGACTAGTGCAAGGGTGGTGCTAAATGGAAGATTAATGAGAAGTGGGAACCAACGTCAAGTACAGGGAGTTCTGTCAACCTGTGGGGAAGGAGCCTGTGGCTGAGAACAATCAGCAGCACTTGAAAATATATGTCCAGATTAGATCCAAATGAAATTTGAGATTTTGATTTATTTTGGTGTTATTTCAAGGTACAGAACCTGGACCGGCTCTCAGCTGATGCAAACCACCAAGGATTAATTTCCATCAGCCACGACATTCTCACTTTATTAATGAGTTTTAAATCGAATGTGTTTGTGTGGATTTAAAAGCTGTGTGAGGGCAATAGCTGTACATCAGGAATTCATAAGCTTTTAATGTAATTCAAGTAGATTGGAGTCTCTTTCATGTTGTGTTTCGAGTATTTGTGTTTTTACAAGGCCTTCATATTTATTTATGGAGTGTTCACAAACTGTCTCTCTGCAAGTGGATTACTGTGCTCTTTTTATTAAATCAACACTTATTCATCACCTGGTACTAAGATTTTTCTTCTATAATGTCACTTTTTGCATAGATTTCTTTTCATATATACATAGGCCTATATTTCCTGGATAGAACATGCATTTTTATCATGATGCTTAGTTGAGGATGATAAAAGAGGTGGCTGACAGCTGAGAATGTGATTTATTTTCTTTGCATTAATTGTCAATTGTTCTCCCCCCACATCAATTTGCATAAGACAAATAGTTGGGTCTCCTCTTTCTCTGGGGTGTCATAAGCAGGTGGATACGTTGGGTATCAGTGGTTTGGAGTCCAGACATTGACAGAATTTGCTGCTCTTTCTTCTCCTCTTTTCAGTTCTTGAGGAGTTTCCTTTGTTACTGGGCAGCATTTTGCATTTTTGAGTTGACTTGGGTTTTTGTAGCTCATGTTTTCAAGTCACAATGAACGAATATATAACACAAAGGAATCATAGAAAAGAAATTAATAATTTCCAGTGTGTTTAGTGTTTGTTAGACAAAGATTCAGGCTTGAATGACAACTTTTGATTAGTCCAAGGAACGAGAATAAAGGCAGAATGAATAATGCTTATCTGTTCCTTTAGGGTTTGCCTGTTGGGAGTAAACTCAGGATTTTAGCTGAGCTAAATAAAAATGTGAGAGCTGTAAATAGCTGTGTGGTCATGGGAGTGCAGTGCTCAGCTCAAGGTGAGGGGATCTGGGCACCTTGGGCTCTTAGGACTTCCAGAATGCAAACACAAAGTTTTCTGTTGGCCAAAGACCTCCTAAAGTCATCTGCTGGTGGTGTTGGGACTCACAGGGGGTTTGGTATGTTTGTTCTGACGTGAGAGGACATTGGGGTCTGTCACTCTGGGGAAGCTTTTCTGTCCCCTTTGCTTTTTGAATGGTAGGAATTAATATGTGTAGAAGTGAAATAACCTGAATGTGAACTCAAGGTGTCACTTTTGGGTTTTGGAAAACTGTTGAGAAACACAAAATTCCTGTCCTATCTGTCCTGAAGAGTCTTTAAGGTCGTAGTGAAAACATACAAGAGATGGAAAACTACTTGGAAAATGGCAGCACAAAGTAAGAAGTGGCAATGTCATATTGTGCTGGGGATGTTCAAGTTCTGCTCAGAACAAACACAAGCAGGACAGGAAATGGATTTTAGCAATCCAATCCTTAATCCCCTTATAAGTCACCTCGAAAAGGAAATGTGTTTGTAATGTGAACTCTGTGAAAACAAACAAAACCAAACATCCATCTGGGCTAAAGGACATTCTTTGTATAAATGTGACACCTGCCTAAAGAATAAAAGCAAGTTTACCAAACTTGGTATATTAACAGAAATATTAAAGGTTTTTTTTTCTGGAGTGTTTATTTAAATGAAGGATGATAACATGTTCTGGGCAGTAGCAGTTGTGTTTGTTGCCAACTAAAACATCTTACAAATTCATTTTCTAAATAAATATTTTAGGCTGACATCTTTCCTAACAGTTTTATCAAATGAATATGAAAATACTCAGAAACAGAATATAGATTTTTTTCATAGCAATTATTTGTTAGTGACTTCCCATCACCTTCTCAAAGGCATAAATGAATAATTAAAAAGGTATGCAAAAGTCATTAGTGTAATTTATTTTTTATTTAAATCGAGTTGTGTTTGTGTTCTGTTTTGCTTTTAAAGCTGGACATGAGAATGAAAATAGCAGAAGGTAAATTTCATGAAGGGAAGCTGAGGCTGCAGCAGAAACATGATGCTGATGTTCAAAAGGTAGGAAGTGTTTGTATTTTCTATCAAAACCAGTGTTTTAAACAATAATAGAGAACATAATTATCATAAATAAGTAGTAGTTCTTTAGCTTCTTCACAGTTGCAATTAATGTTCACTGGAGTTCACGTTGTAGGTGGCAGTTTGTGTGAGCTGATAGGAATGCAGAGTGTTCTGTGATAGCAAAAACTTAGGGAGAGGAAAACACTTGCAGAAAGCAGATGAAAATCGAAGGTAATTTGTTTGTTTGTGTGAACAAGACAACCTTTTTTACCAGCCTAACAACTTCTGGGGGTTCATGTGCTGATGAAATCACAGATCCTTCTTTTAGAGAGAAAGCATTTGTTTCAGAGAAAAATGTGAACAAAGATAATGCATTTTTTATGGCCACAACGCAAAAAGAATAGTAGTAAAATCCCCAAATCTATCACATATGTTGCTGCTCATGCAGCAGAAGTGCTTGTTCTCCTGTCTCCATTCTGACACTGTATCACGAAGCAGAGATTGGTCACTGAGCAGTTATTTGTGTTATTGCCTTGTTAAAGCTTCTGTGGCTCTTAATTCTTCATGACACCAGATCTACTTCTCTGGGTTAAGTTGGATTTGGCTTTATTGTGTTGCATAGCACCACTTCTGGGGAGATTATAAAAAAAAGGCTATCACAGACTTTGCTGTTAGTTTTAATGCCATGTTAGAAAGGTGGGGTAGGATTGTGGGGGCCCTAAGTGCTGTGGAGTGATGTGATCCCAGGGCCGTGGAGGGAGTTAAACGCTCAGCGCCAGGATTGCCATGACTGATCCTGCTGTAAGCTCTGCATTACTCAGTCCCTCGGCTTTGTTTCTGCACACTGAGTCACAGGCTTGGAGGAAGTTGGTTGACACAACACCATGACACATCAAAGCCTCCTGAAAGGATGTTAATATTTGGTCAGGTGCATATTTGGCTCATCTGTTCTCAAAGCCTTCGAGCAGGACCAGCGAGCAAAGCTGAGAGTCTAAAGGAAACAGCTTTGTGAGAAGAAGAAATAGTTGAAATGCTTTCTCATCCCTGGAGTTGTCATCCCTTTCTAACTGATGTTCGAATTTTGTCTTTTGAAGTCGTTTAATCACGTTGGGTATTTTAGAAAAGGTTAAATAGTGTCGTATTAATCTTTAAAGACACAAAACATTTATTGCAGATGGAGCAATATTGTTTTAAGATGAAAGCTTTTGTTTGATAATAGATTTGGGGCACTGTTAGAAAATCTCTTTGACTTTAATCTTTATCTTAAACACGAAGTTGAAATTAAAATGCTACCTCAAAGTCTGCTTGGTTTTTCCCCAAATCATCATCCACAGAAACGTGGGTGTTGTTACCCTCATATTCTTGCTCTATTCCAACCCATTATTCCTTGGAATCCATGCAAGGAATTTTGATTGGTGAGCTACAGAAGAGTGTAATGAAGTTCACGAATTTATTTAAGTACTTTTAAAACCTGCTGAGAATTTTAGATGCTTTTAAATAGCATTTGGCAACAGAAATATGAAAAGGGAAACCAAATTTTGCTTTACAGTAGTTGTTCCATGAAACTTCCAAGCTCAACAAAAGCCACACTGGGTTTGCCCAAGTTTAAGAGAAAACAAAAGATCCAACTTAAAACATGAAACTCCTTTTTGATCTACTTCTGCTACATTTTTCCAAATCAGTCCTTTGTTTATGACATGGCTGTCTGAGCTGTGAAAATGACATAGATTTGGTCACTTAGTCCTGTAGGACCTGAGCAGCTCGTGCAGAGATGTGGGTTTGTGCACTGGTTGCAGTTTTGGGTTTTTTGGACTTTTATTAAAATATTTTGACTCGACCCTGCAGATTTTGGATAGGAAGAATAACGAAATGGAGGTGTTGAAGTCTGTCTACAAAAAGAAACAAGATGAAGCTGAAGAGACAATTAGGAACCTGGAGAAAAAAGGTGATTTTTATCCCTGTGATTGTGTTCTGTGTGGTGGAGTTGCACTGCATCCTCTTGTGGCTGTGGGTTAACGTGTTCCTTGTGGTGCAGATGGCACTTTGTTCTCCATTTGCAGAACTTGAACTAAGATTTTCCATTAAATTTGGAGAGTCTTGTCCAGTTGTCGTTGCTGTCCAGTTTCCAACCCAAATGTTCCAAGAGACATGTGGTCTATTATATTTAATACTTACAGGTTTTATGAGCGTCACCAAGAAAGGTTTCTTTGATGGTACCAAAGTATTTTGGCCACTTGTTTCAAACCTTGTGGAATCTCTGGCTCAAAGTTAATTTCTTTATACATTCAGTACATTTTAATCAAACCACAATGGATTATTTTTAAGACTATTGTGGGAAGAGATTTCAAACATGAGTAGTAGTCTTGAATATGTCGTAAGTACAAAACTTGGCCTGAGTGTGGCCTGTCAGCAGTTTTCCAGTGTTAGTTTCTTTTAGAATTCCTTGGAGTCCATTTTCACTATGGACTAAACCACAATGTAAAATAATACACAAGTTTGGTAATCTATGGACAAAAAGGGAGAGTGTTCCATGTGTATTGTTTCCTGCTCCTTGGCAAAGGAAATTGTCCAACAAGGGATCTGATGCTTCTGTTGGTGGCTGCTCTTGGCTGGAACAGGTTGTGTTGGATAGTGAAAATCCTCAGTCAGTTCTGAAAAGTGAATATGTACCTGCTTTGTTTTCCACAACATTTATCAGACTATGAATTCTTGAAGAAATCACTTCCAATTCAAGTTGGGGAACATAATTTCCATGTGTGTCTTGGGCATTCAACCTTCACAAGAACCTTTTCTCTTAAGGATGTCCACATTGGGCATTCAACCTTCACAAGAACCTTAAGAGAATTAAGTATGTCCACGAAACCAGGTTAAAAATGCCCATTTTCTTTAGGTTATACAGATTTTGCTGATGTCTGTTTACTGCTTCAGGAAGGAAAACTCAGTCTGAACTAGTCTATAAACAAAGCAGAGAAGAGAGAACACCTTGTAATATTGTAGTGACACAGAATCGAAGTGCTAAATTTGAAAGAAGCACATGCATTAAGTATTTAAGAGCCAAAAAAACATCAGAAAGCCAGGTCAGTTGGAAAACTGACATAAACTGATTATATCTGTTGCCAGCACTGGAAAATCCCAAAGGTGTCTCTTGAAAGGTTGTTTATTTTCCCATTTTGAACAGTTCAGACCCTTGTTCGTGAGTCACAAGTTGTCAGGGAAGCGAAAGAGCAGCAGATTGTGGAGCTGAAGAAGATGTGTGAGCAAAGTAATGATTCCTTGAACAATGAGTGGGAGAAAAGGGTAAGGAACAATCCTTGTTTGCTGTGAAAGGCTCCTACAGTGAGTGTCTGGGGTAATGCATCTGTCACTCAGAAAAATAAATCTAAGCAATCTGTTCCTTTTAGGGATATTTTTTGACGCTGATTTTATTCTTTTTTTGGAGTAATCAAGACTCTTCTTGCTGACACTTGCACACCCACACCCACCCAGCTGGTCACCCTGTTCCTGGGGTTTATCTGGCCTCCTGGCAAGTCTCTGGATGTACTAGGGAAGTGTTTATTTCTGGTTGACCTGACATGGAATTTTAATCTGGGTAAACCTGCTGCTACCTGCTGTCACGGTGATTCCTTTGAACTCTTATTTTTTGCAATGGGTCATGAATACTTCAACGTATTTTTATTTATTGTTAGACTCAAGACAGCAGCAAAGCAGAGGGAGAAGCATGTTTATTGTAAGGCAGCCTCACCTTTGCCCAGATTATTGTCAGTATTTGTCTTGCTTCCCCCTCTCAGGAGAGGGAGGGTCACAAAAAGGGCAAACCCACCTCCCTTTGCACATGAAATATGCTGTGTAATTTAATTTTTTTGCAGCCCTGCATCTGGAAATGATGTTGGCTTTAATTCTTGCCTCCTAAGAGATAAATCATAAATCTTGTCCTTTGTGCTTGAGACCTGAAGGCTTCAATGTTAAGTGGTTGGTTGTTTTCTTTTTCATAGAATCCCAGACTGGTTTGGATTGGAAAGACCTTAAAGCTTATCTCATTCCATCCCTGCCATGGGCAGGGACACCTCCCACCAGCCCAGGTTGCTCCAGCCTGGCCTTGACACTTCCAGGGATGGGACAGCCACAACCTGGTTTTGTTTTAGAGAGACATTATTTTGAGCCCAAAGTCATCCCACAGTTTGCAGTTACCTGCCAGTGCTGTCCCTGCAGCTGTAGTTGTCAGCAGTGATGACACTGTGCCAACAGGAATGCAAATTAAAATGCAAATACTAATTTTAGCTTCATGTAATTCTAGCACTGGAATCAGAATATGCATCTAATGGCAAAACGTGGATAATATGATGGAAATACAGTGAAACTTAGCAGTGCAGTATTTTTATACCTTTATATACTGCTCCTTTCTGTGTATTTTTTCCTTTGAGTAGACACAGGTTGTTTGAACAGACATTGCTGACAATGATGCAAACATTGCTGTGGTCAGTTGTACAGGAGATAGAGACAATTCCCATCATTTTTTGGCTTTCTTATTTATTTATATGTCTTACACATTTGGAGGTGATTTATTTATTTACTTATTTCCCCAAAACTTCTGAGTTGCTTATATATCTTACTACTTTGTTGACTCACAGTCGACCTGTTCAGTGTGACAATGATCAGATTTTGCCTTAGAGGACAGAAGTGTGGCCTGTGTTTTCTGTCACTTTTATCCTCACGAATGCTTTTAAATGCCAGTTTTCTATGCCATTTCTTATTTTGTGCTGTTTTTCCTGCTGCAGCTTCACGATGCTGTGGCTGAAATGGAGAAGGAGAAGTTCAATATTCAGAAGAAGCACATGGAAGATGTGCAGGAGCTGCTTGAGAAAACCGACGCTCGTGTCAGCAAGATGCAGGAGGAGTATTTGCAGCAGGCAAAGTCAGCTATAGGTCTTATGGGGAATATGTCACAACAGCAAGTGTCTCTTTTAATATTCAGGTGTCATGGGTTTGTGTTCAAGTGGTTGGATGGGGTTGGGAGCAACCTGGGCCAGGAGAAGGTGTCCCTGCCCAGGGCAGGGGCTGGAATGACATGAGCTTTAAGGTCCTTTACAACCCAAACCATTCCATGATTCTGTGATGTATGTACATACTTATTTTTGATAGTGCAGTTCTGTCTAGGGAGAGGACACTGTCCTGGCAGCCAATCCTACCAAGGATCTTTTCCCCCAGATAAAATCATCAGAGCACAGCTCTGCAATCAATATTACACAGATACATACTTACAATGAAGGTCTAATTCTACCATTTCTCACTCTTTCTCATTAAGTTGGCAGAACTTTTTTCTCTGTAGGTTTGTAGACTATAAAAAAGAATTTATATAGTGCATCTATTTTCATAGAAATGTGACTTTTTACTTGCTCACCTCCTCTTTGAAGGAGCAAAGGCTTCTGTTAGATTAAAGATGATAGAGAAAGGATTTATAAAATAATTATTGATTGTTGTAATTTGTTGCATTTCTTTTCTAGAATATATCTATTACTTATGAGAATAATTATAAACATGTAAGCAGGTATAATCTGGGTTTTGTGCCTGTTCTACAAATGATGCAAAAAGCACAAAAAAAATTCACACATAACCTCAGAAAAGCATCCTGTACTTTTTATCAGGATGAGGCATGAAGGAAATTGAATGAGCGAAAAGACAATGTCAAACAAAATTTATTCCTTTATTAATGAATCTTGAATTTAAAAATTAGCATTCAGATCATGTCATAGGTAATAGTAAATACAGAGAAAAATGGACACAGTCTGTCAGCAAGATTGAATTTAAGAACCATCAAAACCAGACAGATCTTGCTGAGCAGCTTCTGATTTAATAATTAAACAAGGTAGAGTTCAAGGCAGGGCTTAAGATGAAAGACTAGACTGTCACTGGAAATTAGTTTTCTTTTTTTCTCTCTCTCTTTCTCTCTCCTGATTTTTTTTT